TGGGCGGTGAGCTCATGTCTGTCTGTGTGTGCCCTCGTAGTCAGACGTGCCCGCGGTCCAAAGCTCTGTTCCTTTGGCGGGTTGCGGGTCCCCTACCAGAGGGGCATCCCCCGATATTCGTTGCTGGGTGAGATCAGACAGAGATGGACAGTACTATAAGTCTTGCCATGTTGTAGCCAAGTACCTCCTTTCCTACTGCTTTATTTTCTTCTTTTCTTGAATCCCAAAGCTAAAGCATAGGGAAGGGCAAAAAGAACAATGAATGTCCTGGTACAAATTCTTTAAAAAAAAAAAAAGCCCAAAACCTTTACAAATCCAAAAAGCATTAAAAAACCTTTACAAATCCAAAAAGCATTAAAAAATCTTGAAGAAAAGTTCTTAAAAAAATTATCCTCACTTAAAATTTACCTATTTGTTTTGTAACAGTAATGCTTCAGTGGTACTTGCTGGTAAAGTTAAATGTTGAATAGTCTTCCCATAAAATTTATCAAGAAAATGCGGCTGATTGGTGACTTCAGGCACTAATACAACAACAGCATCACAGATAACAATACAAAGTGACCTTGAATGTCAATTAAGAGAAGGCTCTATCCATAATTTTTTATTGCACACAGGGTCTCAGGACTCTTCTCTGTCACTGTGTCTCCTTTGTGTTGTGTTTGCAGAGAAAGAAAAGAAATACAAAGCTCCTCTAATGTTATGAAAACAAAAAATTGTTTATAGTTCTGTGGCCCGTGTGATATTTTCTGATAATGTAAAAACTCAATTGAAAAAGGAAATAATATGTTGCCTTGCATTGTTCCTCCAAATGACTTAGAGGGAGATAACTTGATAAAAACATTTCTATCACACCCTCTGGTTAGTTAAGTGTAGCTGTTATGTTTCCAAAAATAGACGGTCCCCGAGTGTGCCTGAAGTCTGCAATATGGAGGTCAGTTCTGTGTCATGCATAGCCTTTTCTGCCACAGCTATTCTGCCTTAAAATTGTCATGGACTCCTCCTCTGTCTATTTCTTTAATTCACTCATAATTTTCTGTTGTTCTATAAAGTAGACGCATGCTTGTAATCAGAGAGAGACAAGCCTGTAATCAGAAAGTAGCCAACAATAGTCGTTTGATGCCATAAAAATAAAAAATGTTCAGCAGTTTGAAATAAGGGAAATTATCACTTTTTAATGGCTCCTGGCAAAACTCCATAACTAACTTTCTTAAGAAATGTATCTACTAAATAGTGAATAATGAACCAATACCTCTATAAACTCTGCACTGAATTGCTTCTTTGTCTTATTTTTCAATGAGTTATAATGTTTTGGCTTTCTAGCATTATTGACATTAAATCAGCTTGCTGACTGTGGGCATGTCTTTTCGAAGAGAGCGGCCAGGAATTGCACAAAGCCCAGGAGGAATGTGCTGCGTTGGGGGTTGGGAGATCAGGGCCATTCCAGAAGTAACAAGATGCTTTTCCTTGTACTTAGCCTCAGGCATAGACATGGCTTACTCCTTCCCTCGGTCAAAACAAGGAACTTCAGAGGCTTAAGCATCCACTCGGATGGCTGCTAATGAGACTGTTCTGTCTCTTCATACATTTCAAAATCTACATGCCATATTTCAGTCTCGGGCCTTCTGGGTGTTTGTGTCTAATTAGGCTGGAGGGCCTCCAGTTTAAGATTACCTGTGCTGCTTGGTGCCCAATTCTTTTATATGACTTTGGCAATAAAGCAGATTACTGTGGGTTTATGTGCAAGCAAATTAGGGACAGATGTAAGCATTCTTATAAGCCCTGTTCCTGCTTTCTTAGCACGAACTGAATTCTACCATCATCTGGTTCTTTCTACGTTAAACGTGTAGTGTGCTGATTGTAGCATATTTATAACTGGGGGTACTCTGTAAGATGTGAGGCTTTTAAATACTTCATCTTCTCTTGCCGTTTTTTTTCCCAAATGAGAAACAATACTGCTGCAAGAAAAGCTTCCAGATAGAAATAATGAAAAAGAGAAAAGGACTCTGAGCACAGCTATACATAGCACAGCAACAAATGTTTTAAGTTTGTTTTCATAAACAAACTTAATGTACAATGGAGGAAACAATGCATAGTACATGAAATGGTGTTTAAAACTATGAAGTAATATGGCATTGTTTAGGACTGCTATTTTCTACTGCTTTAATTAAAAAAAAAAAAAAAAATCCCTGTGCATTATAGGAGGAATATGGAAAGACTGCTCTGGCTGTCTCCTTGTCATCATGGAATAAATAAACCATACGGTAAAATCATAGAACCATAGAATGGTTTTGGTTGGAAGGGACCTTAAAGGTCACCCAGTTCTGACCCCCTGCCATAGTCAGGGACACCTTCCACTGGAACAGGTTTCTTCAGAGCCCCATCCAACCTGGCCTTGAACGCTACTGGAGACGGGGCATCTACAGCTTCCCTGGGCAACCTGTTCCAGTGCCTGACCACCCTCACAGTAAAGACTTCCTTCCTAATGTCTAACCTTCACTTTTGGAGCTTAAAGCCATTTCCCCTTGTCCTATCACTGCATGGTCTTGTAAAAAGTCCCTCTCCAACCTTCTTGTAGCCCCTTTAGGTACTGGAACCTCATCTCTCTTTGCCTCTCTTCATAGGAGAGGTGTTCCAGTCCTGTGGTCATCTTGGTGGCCCTCCTCTGGAGTTGCTCCAACAGGTCCACATCCTTCTTATGTTGGGGACCCCAGAGCAGCACTTGAGGTGGGGTCTCATGAGAGCGAAGTAGAGAGGGAGAATCACGTCCCTTGACCTGCTGCCTACTTTTCTTTTAATCTTAGTTCTCCAGATTGTTGTCCTCTTTAGAAGTGCTAGATCCAATTTTAGGATGTTATCCCTCATTTTGTTAAGCCAAAGCTTGAAGTGAAATTCCAATTCCAGTGAACTAAATGACAAAATTTACTGAACAATTGTTTCATCTTAGATGTCAGTAGAGCTGGATATATATTCAAAGGTAGTTACCACCTTAAATGAACCTTAACAACATTTAGAAATATGTGTTAAAGCGCACTCCAAAAATCATCAGATTTCTTCACAGTTATAATTTTGGAATCAGGAATATTGTGTTTGAAAACAAAATTCTCATTAGGAGGACTTGAAAATAAGAGTATCCTGATATCCAAACTCTTGCATAATATAAATCTTAGGGATTTTGCCTCAGGTCCCCTTGTGACACCTCTATGGAGATTTTCTGATGCTGAGATGGTGAGGGACAGAGCACCATGAAAAGTGAGTGGCTTCTGCCTTTCAGGCTCCCAGATTTTTGCTTGTGAATCTGCAGTTTGATAAAGTAAATTTTTGTTTCTTTGAAGAAAAAAGATTACAGATGAAGCACTGATACCTAATTCTTGGATTTAAATTATATGACATTAGTGAAGCAGTTCTACATTTTAGAATGCTCCATAAAACCCCAACACTTTGTGTTTGCAGGACTTGGGGCCATGGTGAACTCATTATTCCTAACATTGCATATATTGTGAAAAAGAAAAAAGGCTGCCTGAATATCAAATACTGACTAACGTGTTCATCCAACAGAAATACTGAGCAGCTGCCCCTTCGTAAGCAACTTTTATATTAAAGGACTTTCTGTCCTTTATGAAATGTTGAGACAACTGGGACAATCACATCTGAAATGTCTCTGCTTTCGTCTCTGGAATACAGAGGAGTGAGCAGGGAGGAAGCATTGCCTGGTGACAAGAGCAGCCAGAGAGCTGTGGTCCTTAATGCTTGTAAGTGCACATAATGGAATGTGTCCTGTTGAAGGTGCTATGCCCTGTTCCCTGCCTCTCCAAACCATGGTGAGAAACAGCCTGGCAATACCCTTGGAGTCTGTGCCTGGGCTTTGTGTTGGGAGCCTCTATCTATTTAGGAGTACAGTAGTGCACTTTTATGTATCATATGGTCATTCAAGTGACTGCTCAATAATAGAATGTTCCTCCAGAAGAAGCTGAGCTATTTTTCAGGGGAAAAGTAACACTTTAACCCCCTTTTTTATCCCATAACATTCCAGAGATCGACAAAAATCTGCAAGTGTTAACTTTGAAAAGGAAACATGTTTGGCCCTGAAGGAGGAAATGCAAGTGATCTTCTGTTAGAGAGCAATCTTAGGAGATCTCAGAAACCAAAAACCTCAGTTCAGTTGGTCTTCACCGAGATAGTTTTCTGGTGAAGTGTTTCAGAATTACTTTGTATATCAGATATGTGTTCCAAATGTAAAGGAGAGGCTAAATGCCTTAATAAGTTAGGAAGACAGTAGCCTCATTTATCAAAAAGATTAGAGGAACCCAGATGACAGAATTATCAATATTTTGCAGGGGAAAAAAAAATATGGTAGGATGAAGAACTGTACTGCAGTTGGTTAGTGGCTTTTTCGTTTTAGAACACTGACCTTAACTCTGAAAAACCGTTTGTGGAAGAAATATTCTTAGAGACCCAGTCTGGACTTCATGTGCTGGTGCAAATGAAATACAAGTGGCATTTTAGGATTATTTTGGGGACTTTTTATAAAATTGGAGTAGAGCTCTGTGGCTTAGATCATTCTACTTTTTTTCAGCACTTTCTGAAGTCATTGTAGCTGCAGCTTGGCTGTCATGTTCCTCCTTTAATTGGAAACTGGCCAAGGGGATGGTTGGCAGGC